TGATCCATATTTTTTAATCCAATCTAAGCTTTCGGCTTACATAAACCATTATCAAAGATGTTAATTACTGTACAACATATTAAGCAATATACGGACAAGACAGTGATGATAGTCTGTTATTGCTTACATGAATGATTTCCAAGCAACGATAAACACGTGCATATAGTATCACTCAAATGATCGAGCTCTTTCGGCTATACATCTGGTTATTTTCAAGGATGTTTCAGCATACTCGTAGGTACTTGGTTCACTTTCGAAATCAGTATTTCATTATCCAAACATAAGAATCCTGATTTTGAAAGTAGAACGGGCGAGAACTTTTCAGCATTGATTCATATATATATATATATATATATATATATATATATATATATATATATATATATATATATATATATATATATATATATATATATATATATGTCATGCCTAGCTGCTTATGAGATGGATGAAGGCAAAAAAAAGAAATGAAACATAGTATAAACATGGTTGGTTGGAGCATTTCGAAACGATTGATATTCTTCCAGGTCCCTGATTTTGTTTCTTGCAAGCCTCGCTTAAGATAAAAGAAAACAAGGTTTGGGGGAAGGTGCGGGGGTTGTTCTTAAGCCAAAACTCTGTGGGTAACAAAATCGATGAATGGAGGAATTCTCGCAGAAAAATGGAAGAATCCTCCTTGGAAAACATCGGAAATAAATTGGTTGGTAAATCGCGCGGAGGAGTGGAAAATATTGATCACGGGCAAATATTTTTCAGGCAGATGACATCAAAAGAGGAGATTTGATTGGTCGGGGTTAAGAGCATGCGCATTGGGTTGGTGTGGCTGGGCAGATTTTGCTGTTGAAGAAAATACGAGATACGGGGTTGAAGAAGAAAACGAGGTATAAGAAATAAAGAAATAAAGAAAGAAAGAAAGAAAGAAAGGTGTTAATAAGGAAGAATTTTTTTCAATATTTATAGCCGAATTATAAAATGAACAAACAAGCGGGAAAGAAAGAAAGAAAGAAAGAAAGAAAGAAAGAAAGAAAGAAAGAAAGAAAGAAAGAAATTGAAGGATGGTCCGTACGGGTAAGAAAGAGAAGGAACAAAAGAAAAGAAATGAGTGTTAGTGAGGAATGACTTTTTTAATATTCTAAGGTTGAAGAAGAAAATGAACAAACGAGTGGAAAAGAAAGAAAATGAAGAAGGGAATAAATATATGCAGGATGAGAAAAGAAAGAAAGAAAGAAAGAAAGAAAGAAAGAAAGAAAGAAAGAAAGAAAGAAAGAAAGAAATTGAAAGATAATACTAGTGGGTTAGAAAGAAAGAAAGAAAGAAAGAAAGAAAGAAAGAAAGAAAGAAAGAAAGAAAGAAAGAAAGAAATTGAATGATAATACTAATGGGTTAGAAAGAAAGAAAGAAAGAAAGAAAGAAAGAAAGAAAGAAAGAAAAGAAAGAAAAAGAAAGAAAAAAAAGAAAGAAAGAAAGAAAGAAAAAAAAAGAAAAAAAAAAAAAGAAAGAAATTTACAGATAATACTAGTGGGTTAGAAAGAAAGAAAGAAAGAAAGAAAGAAAGAAAGAAAGAAAAAGAAAGAAAGAAAGAAAAAAGAAAGAAAGAAAAAAAAAAAGAAAAAGAAAGAAAAAGAAATTTAAAGATAATACTAGTGGGTTAGAAAGAAAGAAAGAAAAAGAAAGAAAGAAAAAGAAAGAAAGAAAGAAATTTAAAAGATAATACTAGTGGGTTAAAAGAAAGAAAGAAAAAAAGAAATTTAAAAGATAATACTAGTGGGTTTAGAAAAAAAAGAAAGAAAGAAAGAAAGAAAGAAAGAAAGAAAGATAGAAAGAAAAAAAAAGAAATTGAAAGATAATACTAGTCGGTTAGAAAGAAAGAAAAAAGAAAGAAAGAAAGAAAGAAAGAAATTGAAAGAAAATAAAGAAAGTCAAAAGAAAGATAGAAAGAAAGAAAGAAAGAAATTGAAAGATAATACTAGTCGGTTAGAAAGAAAGAAAGAAAGAAAGAAAGAAAGAAAGAAAGAAAGAAAGAAAGAAAGAAAGAAAGAAATTGAAAGATAATACTAGTGGGTTAGAAAGAAAGAAAGAAAGAAAGAAAGAAAGAAAGAAAGAAAGAAAGAAAGAAAGAAAGACAGAAAGAAAGAAAAAAAAGAAAGAAAGAAAGAAAGAAATTTAAGATAATACTAGTGGGTTAGAAAGAAAGAAAGAAAGAAAGAAAGAAAGAAAGAAAAGAAAAGAAAAAAGATAATACTAATTAGGTTAGAAAAAAAAAAAAGAAAAGAAAAGAAAGAAAGAAAGAAAGAAAGAAAGAAAGAAATTGAAGGATGGTCCGTACGGGTAAGAAAGAGAAGGAAAAGGATGAGAAAAGAAAGAAAGAAAGAAAGAAAGAAAGAAAGAAAGAAAGAAAGAAAGAAAGAAAATATATAGAGAACGAGGCTACTGAAAGAGGAAAGAAAAGGAAGGATGAAAAAGTAAGAAGCGACACAAATAATGTGTTATGAAGAAAATATGATTTTGATAATATTTTTTTAGTTGGAGAAATAAAAACTGAGAATAAACGTGAAATTTAAATAAAGACTGAAAGGAAAAAAATGAAAAATACTGTGGAATCAGTGAAGGCAAAGGACAGAGAGAGTGAAAAACGAAGAAAGATAAATGGGGGGAGAGTAACGGAATATTGCGTTCGCATAGTACCCGTCATAAATAAGGACATTATCAGTCAATATCAAACTCGCTACACACTAATAATGACTAGATACGTTTTGTTATTTATTCACTTTATTTATGGTACAAGGTCTGAAATAAAGAGTACCCAATAATCGAAGCTTACTAGTAGTGGTCTGTTAGAGCAGAATGTTAACCATTACTCCACGGCAAAGCACTATTTTAAAAATATTTTAAAATATTAATAATATGACTAAGCTTATATCTATACGAAAGAACCAACTATTTTTAACAAATGTTAGGTGCCTTCAGGGCATATAAGATTATGGCACGCCATTAATACTTTTTCTTTGTTTTCGATTAACTTCCATAATAATAATAATAATTGCCTGAAAAATCATTTATCAAGCTTATCTCGCGAGCTATTAGAGGTGATGTTTGTTGTTCCCTATTCCTTTTAAGCATTTACCGCCAACCGTATAACATGAACATGTGTCCTTGATTTATAGCTTTGAAGAAGACTTAGTGAAATGTAGGAGAGACATTATGCAAAGCTGTCTGGAGTTCCATGTCCTGTAGGGCTACCCATGGCTGTAAGATCGAAGAGGAAGGACGAGACTGAACGGAACCAACCCTCGTATATCTCAACGGCGGAATAAGCGAAGATCTACACGATCACAAGGACCAAACCAGCAGAAGAGGACAGCGCCAATCGGGTTGTCGTAACCATAGCGGGCCTTGACAGACTTAGCAACCGACAGCCCGGTGCAGCGAAATCTCGTCTGTCTCAATCCGCTTCGAGCCGCGAGTGAGGCGCTTCTAGTCAAGTGTGTGGGCTTCTCTGTCTCACAGTGTTGTCCACCAAAATCAAATTCAGACGAATGGCCTCGTCAAACTCTGATTCACAGCCAACTCCTCCACCGCCACCAGGAGAGAGAAAGGGAATAGGGAGAGAGAAGGCGAATAGGGAGAGAGAAAGGGAATAGGGAGAGAGAAAGGGAATAGGGAGAGAGAAAGGGAATAGAGAGAGAGAAGGGGAATAGGGAGAGAGAAAGGGAATAGGGAGAGAGAAAGGGAATAGACAGAGAGAAAGGGAATAGGGAGAGAGAAAGGGAATAGAGAGAGAGAAAGGGAAAGGGAGGGAGAGAATAGGGAGAGAATAGAATAGAGAGAGAAAGGGAATAGGGAGAGAGAAGGGGAATAGACAGAGAGAAAGGTAAAAGGGAGAGAGAGGATGATGATCCCGATGCTCGGATGCGAGCGGGTGCTGACGGCAACAGCCAGAGAACTTCTACCGCTAATTAATACGTCTAATGTTTATCAAACTTATCTCACATTCTATAAGTGCTGGAATCTGCTTCTCTCTGTTCCTTTTAAGCTTTTACCGCCAACCGTATAACATGAACATGTGTCCTTGATTTATAGCTTTGAAGAAGACTTAGTGAAATGTAGAAGCGACATTATGCGGCTAGCATAAAGTAGCTGTCACAAGACAACACACGTCAATTCGATATTCAATGGATGCACTTGAGCGACAGCCATTATGACAGACGTAGGCGAAGCTCATTAACTATCAAGCTCTGCTTTTTTTTCTTTTTCTTTCTGTTTTTTCCTGATAACAATGTGTTGGAAAATATTTAAATAAAACTAATTGACAGATAACTAATTACCTGCGATGACATTAAAGGAGTTCATCTCAAAGAAATGGCGCCGCTTTCTTTCTCTCTTCATACTCTCTGCAGATTTGAACATACCCTTCTTTCTTTCTTTCTTTCTTTCTTTCTTTCTTCATTTCCTTCTTTCTTTCTTTCTTTCTTCCTTCCTTCCTTTCTTTCTTTCTTTCTTTCTTCCTTCCTTTCTTTCTTTCTTTCTTTCTTTCTTTCAATGCTATTCGGCATTGTTTTCCTTATTTTTCAACCTTATCTTCCGGACAACTTTTTTCTTTCTTTCTTTCTTTCTTTTTTTCTTTCTTGCTTTGATTTGTTCGTTCTCATGTTCATAACTATATTTCTTTTTTTCTTACCCTTTCTTTCTTCTTTTCATTCTTTTCTTTTCCCTGTTTTTCTTATTTTCTCTCTCTTTCTTTCATTTTTCTTTTCTTTCTTTCGTTCTCATGTTCATAACTATATTTCTTTTTCTTAACATTTCTTCTCTCTCTCACTTTGTTTTACTTTTTATGTTCATAACTATATTTCCTTCTTAACATTTCTTCCCTTCTCGCTTTTTCTTTCTTTCTTTGTTTTTCTTCCTTTCGTTCTTATGTTCGTAACTACATCTATTCCTTTCCCTTCCTTTATTCTCTTTCTTTCTTTCTTTCTTTCTTTCTTTCCCTTTCTTTCTTTCTTATGTTCATAATTATATTTATTTTTCTTCCATTTCTTTCTTCTACTTCTCAATTTGTTCTCTTTCTTTCGTTTTTCTTTCCTCTCTTCTCTCTCTATCTCTCTCCATTCCTTTTTTCTTTCTTTTCTTTCTTTCATTCTTATGTTCATAACTACATTTCTCCCTTTCCCTTTCTTTCTTCTCGTGTCTCTCTTTCTTTCTTTCTTCTCGTGTCTCTCTTTCTTTCTTTCTTTCTTTCTTTCTTTCTTTCTTTCTTTCTTTCTTTCTTTCTTTCAACACAGAATCCTTTCTTTCACCAAACCCATTCTTTAATTCATTTAATACATTCCCATTCTTCTCGTAACTAATTTCTTTCTTTCGCTCTTTCTTCCTTTCTCATGTTCGTAACTACTTGATTCTTTCTTTCTTTCTTTCTTTCTTCTTTCTTTCTTTCTTTCTTTCTTTATAACTGCTTTCCATTCTTTCTTTCTTCATTTATTTTGTTCGTAACGGCTTTATTTCATTCTTTCATTCTTTCTTTCTTTCTTATATTCTTAATTTCACTTCCTTTCTTTCTCTTTCTCTCTTTTTCTTTGCTTCTTTCTTATAAGTTCTCTTTCTTTCTTTCTTTCTTTCTTCTTTGCCTCATTTCTTTCTTGTTTCTTTCTTTTTTCTTTCTTTCTTCTTTGCCTCATTTCTTTCTTGTTTCTTTCTTTTTTCTTTCTTTCATCACGTAAATCTGTTTTATTTGGTTTCTGTCCATATTCTTTCTTTTTTCTTTCTTTCTTTCTTTATCTATCTATCCCAATTTCTTCTTTCTTTCTTTCTTTCTTTTTTCTTTCTTTCTTCTATGCCTCATTTCTTCCTTGTTTCTTTCTTTTTTTCTTTCTTTCTTCTTTGCCTCATTTCTTCCTTGTTTTCTTTTTTCTTTCTTTTTTTTTGCTTTTCTTCTTTTTCTCATTTCTTCCTTGTTTTCTTTTCTTCTTTTTCTTTTCTTTTTCTTTCTTTCTTCTTTGCCTCATTTCTTCCTTTGTTTCTTTCTTTTTCTTTTCTTTCTTCTTTGCCTCATTTCTTCCTTGTTTCTTTCTTTTTTTTTTCTTTCTTTTTCTTTTCTTTTTTTTTCTTTCTTTTTCTTTCTTTCTTTTTCTTGCCTCATTTCTTCCTTTTTTTTTTTTTTTTTTTTTCTTTGCCTCATTTCTTCCTTGTTTCTTTCTTTTTCTTTCTTTTTTCTTTGCCTCATTTCTTCCTTGTTTTTTTTTTCTTTTTTTTTCTTTCTTCTTTGCCTCATTTCTTCCTTTCTTCTTTCTTTTTTTTCTTTCTTTCTTCTTTTTCCTCATTTCTTCCTTGTTTCTTTCTTTTTTTTCTTTCTTTCTTCTTTGCCTCATTTCTTCCTTTTTTTTCTTTTTTTTTTTTTTCTTTTTTTCTTTGACTCATTTCTTCCTTTGTTTCTTTCTTTTTTCTTTCTTTCTTCTTTGACTCATTTCTTCCTTGTTTCCTTTCTTTTTTTTTTTTTCTTCTTTGCCTCATTTCTTCCTTGTTTCTTTCTTTTCTTTTCTTTCTTCTTTTGCCTCATTTCTTCCTTGTTTCTTTCTTTTTTTTTTTCTTTTTTTTTTGCCTCATTTCTTCCTTTTTTTCTTTCTTTTTTCTTTCTTTCTTCTTTGCCTCATTTCTTCCTTGTTTTTTTCTTTTTTTTTTTGTTTTTTTTCTTTGCCTCATTTCTTCCTTGTTTCTTTTCTTTTTTTCTTTTTCTTTCTTCTTTTTGCCTCATTTCTTCCTTGTTTCTTTCTTTTTTTTTTTTCTTCTTTGCCTCATTTCTTCCTTGTTTCTTTCTTTTTTCTTTCTTTTTTCTTTGCCTCATTTCTTCCTTGTTTCTTTCTTTTTTCTTTCTTTCTTCTTTGCCTCATTTCTTCCTTTTTCTTTCTTTTTTCTTTTTCTTTTTTTCTTTGCCTCATTTCTTCCTTGTTTCTTTTTTTTTCTTTTTTTTCTTTCTTTGCCTCATTTCTTCCTTGTTTCTTTCTTTTTTTTTTTTTTCTTTCTTCTTTGCCTCATTTCTTCCTTGTTTTCTTTCTTTTTTCTTTTTCTTTCTTCTTTGTCTCATTTCTTCCTTGTTTCTTTCTTTTTTTTTCTTTCTTCTTTGCCTCATTTCTTCCTTGTTTCTTTCTTTTTCTTTCTTTCTTCTTTTCATTTCTTCCTTTCTTTCTTTTTTTTTTCTTTCTTTTTGCTTTTCTTTTCTTTTCTTTCTTTTTTTTCTTCTTCTTTGCCTCATTTCTTCCTTGTTTCTTTCTTTTTTCTTTCTTTCTTCTTTGCCTCATTTCTTCCTTGTTTCTTTCTTTTTTCTTTCTTTCTTCTTTGCCTCATTTCTTCCTTGTTTCTTTCTTTTTTCTTTCTTTCTTCTTTGCCTCATTTCTTCCTTGTTTCTTTCTTTTTTCTTTCTTTCATCACATAAATATTTCTTTTACCAAACACATTCTTTATCTCTAATTCATTTATATTTCCCTTTTTCTTATAACAGCTTTCTTCTTTCTTTCTTTCTTTCTTTCTTTCTTTCTTTCTTTTTCTTTCTTTTTCTCTTTTTTTCTTTAATTCTTTCTTATATACCTCATTTGCTTTCTTTCTCTTTCTCTCTTTTTCTTTCTTTCTTTCTTTCTTTTTATGCCTCATTTCCTTCTTCTTTCTTTTCTTTCTTTCAGGGCATATTTAAGATAAGAGAGACAGACAAATGCAAGAAAAAAAACTACATAACTACCTTGTGTAAATTGTTGGCAGTACAGGGACTAGGAGAGATAGCACAAATACAAACCATAAAACAGCTATAAAGGAAGAGAAGTTGTGGAGAGCCATGATCGCCCCAAATTAAAAAGAACAATAATAAATAGATGAAGATGAGACTTGAGACAACAAAAACAAATAAAACTGTACTGAACTGCTGTATGTCAGTGAATGCTCGGCTCGGTCTTTTGAACAAGAGTAGAGGTTTAACCCTTGTTTCCTGTTTAGCATTGGGTTTCCGGTTCCTTCTAAAGTCTACTTTAGCTCTATACTCCAAATGTTTGTCCTTTCCTACGCTAATATAAGTCCACACAGTATGCCTCTACCTTGAGTGGCTCTTGGGCCTTATATTGGGTGAACATTAGTAAAAATAAAGACGAAGAAGAGACGTCAGGCAACAGAAAACGGAATATGTGATGTATGGGAAAGTTTTAAGGGAAATGAATAGATAGGAGCACTTGTACTTAGAAAGAGACAGTTGAATCTTCTACGACACCCCCCACAAACCCACACATACATACATATATATATATATATATATATATATATATATATATATATATATATATATATATATTATATAAATGGACAAAGTCCTACAATTATTTTAAGACATGTTTATGTTTATACATTCTTTTTTATAGATACAAATATTTAAGTAAATGCTCTGTTTATAATAAACAGTATTCAACAACATTTACCGGCCCGAATATCTGAATGACGGTTCCGTATAGGATACAGGTTCGAATCCTGTCAGAGGACGAACATTTTCTGTGAAAATTTCTCGAACATTCAGGCCGTTAAATGTTGTTTATTATAAACAGAGCATTTACTTAAATATCTGTACGTATAAAAAGAATGTTAAACATAAAAATGTCTTAAAAAAATATATATATATATAGTTTATGGAAAACTAGGTAAACCTAAGGAGGATAAAATCCAGAGAGCTCAATGTAAATCCAGAGCAAATCATTTAAATAAAAACAGACCACTTTAAGGTTCCATGTAATAAATTATTTCACCACAGTCCTTTTAAAAGGGCTGTGGTGAAATAATTTATTACATGGAACCTTAAAGTGGTCTGTTTTTATTTTTTTTTAAATTCCTAAAATTTGAGTATTTTGAATGAAAAACGAAAAGAATTTTATTTTGATCTAAAACTTATATGTACGTTTGTCGAGCATTAATCTTGCTAGAAAGGTCCATCGTCTTTTTCATGTTGAATTGTATATGGTCTATGTTAATTTTGTTTTATGAATATGTCCTGAAGATGGTTTATTAGACCGAAACGTCCGACGTTGACATTAAACATTAAAACAGCATAATCGCATATTAGGATTTTTGTTTGTTTTTTCAGTATATATTTTACTTCATACTGTCGGATCTATATCCATATATTTGCTTAAATATATATATATATATATATATATATATATATATATATATATATATATATATATATATATGTGTATATAAATATAAATAAATATATATATGTATAATTATTTATATATTATATATGGTACTAATTAGAAAAGCCTCAATATCAGAAAGAGCTAACATATTTGGTTGGATAGATGTGAGTTTGTGACCCTGGGTTTCACGCTTTGTGCGATCGTCAGACAAACGATCGCTAAAGCGTGAAACCCAGGTCACAAACTCACATCTATCCAACCAAATTTATATATATATATATAAAAAGGACACGTTCCAAAAGCTGGGCAGAGTACTGCGAAACAGGAGGATTTCTTTGATGACAAAGAAAAGAGTACTGAGCTGTTACGTGACATCTGTCCTCCTATACGGCAGTGAATGTTGGACGGTCTCCTCAAAGATGAAGAAGAGGCAGCGGAGATGTGGTTCTACAGAAGGATGCTAAGGATATTATGGAGCGAGTGCGTGAGCAACGATGAGGACTTGGAGAGGATGCAAACAAGGAGAAAGCTTATACTTAACATCAGAAAGAAGCAGATGAAATTTCTGGGACACGTAATGAAAAAGGAGGTCTTAGAGAATCTGATACTCACAGGGCGAATAGAGGGAAAAAGAGACAAAGGAAAGCAACACATGACATACATGGCGGGCTTAGGCAAGTGGATGGTAGAACGTGGTCTGGGGGAGTTGGCAGAGGCACGAAACGTATTGAGGGCCACAAGGGATAGGGTGAAGTGGAGAGCCATGATCGTCTACGTCCTAAAAGAACACGGCACATAAAAAGAAAGAATTACTTTTTTATTTCTAAAATAGTTGTCTGTAATTGTTTCTTTATTGTGTTTTTTTTATTTGAGATGAGGGGGGGACACTGGCCATTGGGCAAGGTGATACTCTGGCCAGTCTGCCACTGCTCATAGACTGAACAAAGGTTCAGTTCGAGATTAGCTGATGTTTTCCTGGATCGACAGACACATGAAGAAGGCACGAGTGCAAAGCGGCCGAAACATTGTGGCAATAACGACAAAGATACCCTTAGAAACAAAAAAAAAGGGGGGCTGATCATCAAATCTTCTACCTGGTAAATGCGGAACAATCTTCTCACAGATGAAGAAGAAACTTAAAGCAGCACAAACGTAGTTCTATCAATCTAAGCTAAGAATAACAAGGACAGAAGTGTTGGGATCCATCAACCCAAGTTTTTGATGGTATCATGGTCTCGGGATTCAAAACATTTAACAAAAACAACAGCAACACATCTTTTAAATGAAGCATTAAAAGGTTATTCGCTGAAGAAAAGTAGAAGTAGAATGCCAATTGAAATAACATTTATATATTCTTTTCAGAGATATACAATGACAAAATGTTCAATTTTTCTTGCAGTGTGTTGTAAAATGTGTGGACAGCCTAAAATGTGCGGTCAGCCTAATGTGTTCGTAGACAAAAGGTTTAGTCAACAGCTGCGGGCTTTCATCGCTTCACTGCGTGCGTGCGCGTGTGAGCGTGTGTATACACACGTGTGGATCAAATTGGCCTCCGAAACTGTTTTGATCCTCGAGAAGCAGTAGGTTTCTACTTTTATATCCGTAAGGAAGAGCCAAAATCTAATTTCACATAGAATTGTGATTTTTTTTTTAATACAGGGTTTTCATTAGTCAGAAAATAATTTCACACCAGCCCGCGAAAATCTTTTTCTCGGATTTACGGGAATGGCGAAAGGATTTATTATTGTTATTTTCTAAATGGTCCAAAAATAACACATGGTAGGTTTACTGCTACGTCCGCTGAGTATGTTAGCAGTATTTGCCCCTGTAATGATTGTTTATCAAACAAACCTTCTGATGGAATTTTATTGGTTGAAATATATATAGAGATATATAGAAGTCAAAGTCTAAGTCCTTCTGACACAATAATATAATTTTATTTGTAAAAGGGCATGTTAATTTTTGTTGTTGACATACATATTATTGGCCATCCTTAGGCACACAAAGTACTATGAAAAATGAAAATATCACGACACACTTAGTAAAATTTTTAAGAGAATACATTTAAATCTTATGACATATAAACATAGATTTAAAAAATACACACACAAATATGTACTTTCTTTATTTCAATGTTTCTATTCAACTATTTGTGCAGCTTATTTAGTGTTAAACATGTGTCTTGCGTTTTTTCGCGATTTCTTCAATGTTTGGTCGAATGTGTCATAAGCAAAACCTCATTTCT